GCTCGGGCTTCGGGCCGGGGCTGCGGGGCCGAGCGCTCTGCGCGCGGGTGGACGGGTGGGGGCCAGCCCGGAGAGCCGCCGGCCTCCAGCGACGTCCCCAGTGCGGCCACTGCCCACCTCCCCCACTGCCCGGTGCGCCTCCTCCGGGTGGCTTCTTGGCTCCGAGAAAGTTGCATAATTGCGAGGTCAGGAGGACCCTCCCCCTCCGGCCGGGCTGCCTGCTGGGCGTCCGCGGTCCCGAGGCGGACACCTAACTGTCTGCCCCACTTCTCCCCCCAGCCTCCTCCGGCTCCGATTTAAGATAAAAGGCTGATCTGAGCTTTCTCCTTATAGAAGATGAATCCGTCCTCAGCTCCCCCTCCGCTCCCGCCACCCGGGCAGCAAGTGATCCACGTCACGCAGGATCTGGACACGGACCTCGAAGCCCTCTTCAACTCTGTCATGAACCCCAAGCCCAGCTCATGGCGGAAGAAGATCCTGCCAGAGTCCTTCTTCAAGGAGCCGGATTCGGGATCGCACTCGCGCCAGTCCAGCACTGACTCCTCGGGCGGCCACCCGGGGCCCAGGCTGGCTGGCGGCGCCCAGCACGTCCGCTCGCACTCGTCGCCCGCATCGCTGCAGCTCGGCACCGGCGCGGGCGCGGCCGCCAGCCCCGCGCAGCAGCACGCGCACCTTCGCCAGCAGTCCTACGACGTGACCGACGAGCTGCCGCTGCCCCCGGGCTGGGAGATGACCTTCACGGCCACTGGCCAGAGGTACTTCCTCAAGTAAGTCACCCTGCGGCCGAGGGGGACCCAGCGATGCTGCCCAGGGCGCGCGGGTGTGCGCGTGCGTGAGCATTCTCCCCTAAAGGTCTGCGAAGCGACAAGTAATGAGTGAATTTCGGGGAGTTGGGTTGTCTTGTGAGGGATCAGAAGCAGGGAAGCATCTGGTGGAATTCATTCACGGTTCTGGAAGTCCAAGGGATCGGAACACAGAAACCCCTAAATTTAAGAGCAAAAAAAGGCCCGGTGTGGTGGCACACGCCTGTATAATCGCAGCACTTGGGAGACCGAGGCAGGAGGGTCCCTGGGAGTTCGAGGTCGATCTCGGCTACAAAGTGAACTCAAGGCCAGCCTGAACTGCATAGCAAGACCCCATCTAGAGGAAAAAGAAAAAAGTGATTTGCCCTGAATCCAGACCTCAGGCTCTTAGCCTCTTCTCCAGGGCAGTAAACACTCTTTAGTCACTTAGCCAGGAGGTGGATGGTTGGGGGCAGGAGGCAGGTCAGACCCCAGATGAAAGAGAAAAGTTGAGAGATTGGAAAGAAGAGGGTGTTTTGGTGGAGTAGGTGGTCTCTTGTCCCGCCGAGTTTGTGGAAAAGCTGGCAGGAAGAGGGGCTGTAGTGTTGTGGTAGACTTTACTGCTCCCACCTGGGTGATGTCAGGGCCAAAAGCAATGAGGTAATTAGCCGTTGATGAAGTAGTTGTGGGCTGGACCAACCAACTGTGTAGAAATTGGGTCAAGTGTTTCGTTATGTCATTTTTGGTAAACTAAAATACTGTCAAATCAGGAGTCTGCTTTTGTTACTTCTGTATCGCAGCTTTTATTTATTTATTTATTTATTTATTTATTTATTTATTTATTTATTTATTCTTTGAGACAGGATCTCTGTAGTTCAGGCTGGCTTTGAGCTTCCTATGTAGCTCAGGCTGATCTTGAACTTCCAGTGATCCTCATGCCTCACTCAGCCTGCTGAGTGTTGGGATTACAGGCATGCATGCACCACCATGCCTGGCAACATTTGATGTAATGAATTTTACAGTAGATTTGAATTTCTGAATTAGAATGTACAGGAAAACACAGTTGCAATTGTAGAGGAAATTGTTTCAATTGTGGTACCCTAAGATCATTACATTCCTGTGGAGAAACCAAGCTGGAACTTGAAATGTAACCAGTGAGGTCACAGGGTCAGGCTGTGGAAGGAAGGCCTGAAGGCGACGTGCCCGCTGGACCACTTGGTGTGGGGTTGTCTGCTTTTGGCTGGCATTTGCTACTGGCACGGGAAAGGACTAAGAAAAAACTTGCCTTATAGTTCATTGGAAAGCCCGCACTTCGTTGGCCTTAGTTCAAAAAGGCCAAAATATTAAGGCATTATATGTTATTTTAAAAGTTAAATCACGATCTTTTGGGGCGGGTATTTGGCGCTTGCTGTGAGAGGGCCCTGAGAGTGGTCCGGCATTGATTTGCGGAGCCTTACAGCCACCTCTTTAACTCAGGCTGGTGAGCAGTTCTTGTTCCTTTTCCATCCCTAAGCTGTTGACATCTTGTATATTTTTGTTTCTGGGGTTGGCGCACTTCTGAGACCCCGAGACAGACTTGGCAGTGGCTTGTACCAAGGCTGGTGTTCCCTGGGTTGTTGAGCCACAGAACAGACATGTGCTTAGCGCTCTAATTTCTTTCTTTCTTTTTTTTTTTACTATTGTTTTTTATTTTTATTTATTTTTTTAAATTTATTTAGTGGGGCTGGTGAGATGGCTCAGTGGTCTAAAGCACCTGCTTAGAACAAGTTTAGCAAAGCCCAGGGACCATGGTTCAATCCCCCAGCACCACATGCCAGCCAGCCCCGCCCCCTGGTGGGCTGAGCTGGCCACACACACACACACAAATAAATAAAATTTAAAAATAAAATAAAATAAAATAAAATTTATTTAGTGTGTGTGTGTGGGGCCAGCTCAGCCCACCAGGGGGCGGGGCTGGCTGGCATGTGGTGCTGGGGGATCCAACCGCTGTCCCTGTGCTTTGCCAAGCTTTTTTTAAGTAGGTGCTTTAGACTACTGAGCCATCTCTCCAGCCCCAGTGCTCTAATTTCTAAATGGCCAGTAGAGTCACGTACATGATAATAATGGCATTTCCTAAATGTGATGATACTGTCCCAAAGAATGGAATCAGTTTCCCCCTCTTCTCTTTCTTCCTTCATTTGTACATCCCTTCCTTCTTTCCTGTTCTAATTAATTAAATTTATTGGTACCTTTTAGGTGTATATAACGATCACATTGTTTACAAGCTGTTTTCTTCTTCCTTTTGCAGTTCCTGGGAATTGAACTGGAACCTTTACACTAAGCCATATCCCCAACCCTTTGTTATTTAGAGACAGGCTTGAAGAAACTAAGTTTCCTTGGTTGGATTTAAATTTGGATTCTTCCTGCCTCAGCCTCCTGAGTACTGGGATCACAAGTATGTGCCACCATGCCCCGCCTCAGATGATTTTTGAACTGTTTATGAGTACACACATGTACATGGTGTGATAAGTACAGATGTGATAATTGCCGGGCATGATGGTGCGTGCTTGGAATCACAACACAAAGGAGGCTGAGGCAGGAGGATCACCAAGAATTTAAGGCCAGCCTAAACTACATGGCAAGACCCTGTCTCAAAAAAATATGATTATTACAAAATATGAAATAGAAGTCAAGCTTGCCTGATATCTGGAAAGCTAAGTGAAAAAAGCACAAAACAAAAATTCCTTTTACACATCTGTTTTGAATAATTAGAGTAAACTAGAACTGTTTGTGATTTATGGTAAGTGGAAGTTTGCCTTCATTTAGAGAAGTTGCTGTGGTCTTGTGTGCTCCTTTCTCCTTCCTTACACCCTAGCCCAGGGCCCAGGTCAGCTTCATTTCACTTGGCCGGAGAAGATGACCGCTGAGAAGCCTGCAGTAAGCTGGCCTAAGCTGGTGCTGTGCATGGGAAGGTTTTGTCCAAGTAAGTAGGAGAATTTAAGAAATGAAGTCGCTGGGACTGACTATTGTCTTTTAGAATAGGCAGTCTGCCAAGAGTTCCCTTAAGTTTCTTTTATTTATTTTTTGGTACTGGAAATCAAACTTGTGCTTGTCAGGCAGACACTGTATTGCAGAGTTGTATCACCAGCCCTCAAGTATCTTTTAGAGCTTTGTTTAAAGTTTGAAGGAAGTGAGTTCCAGGAGAGTGAAGTGTGGGGGCTTTTTGCAGGGTGGGGTTTGAGATAGGGTCTCACTGTGGAGTTAGTTCAAGCTGGCCTCCAGCTCTTGGTAACCCTTCTGCCTCAGCCTCCTGAGCACTGGGCTTATATGCGTGAGCTACGCTGCCCGGCTGGAAGGAAGTAAATATATATCACACTTTGTCACAGCCTCAAAGGGAATGAATTTTTTTTTTTTTTTTTTTTTAAAGGCAGTGAAATCAAAGGAATCTAGAATTGACAAGGATCAATTCTTTTGCTTTTTTTTGGCTAGAAAAATGGAGGCCAGCACAGGCTAAGAGCATGAGTGTGGGCCAGCCCTGCAGCAGTTAGCAGCGGACCCTGGACTGGGCCTCTGTTAGTCTCCTCCCCACCCCCACCCCACGCCCTGTCACTTCCCTAGCTGAACAGTGAGCATTCCAGGAAGCCCAGCTCCACATCTAAGCTTGAAAAAGTCTTTTGTCATTTTCTCAGGTAAGATTGTTTCCAGGTAGATGACAAAACGTCTTCTGGGGACCTCCTGAAGGTCATCTTTCTTGTGTATGCTCACGTTTTCTGTGTGTTCAGCTGGGAGAGCCCTGGGTAAGAAAGGAAAACCTCAGAAAAGTCTCCCATGATTCCTCTCCTCCAGGCCCACAGCTCAGGCTGCGCTCGCAACAACCTACCACCACATTGACTCCAACACTGAGCACGTTGAGGGCTTTTTGTTTTGGTCTTGAGTCAGGATCTCATGATGCAGCAGGCTGGCCTGGAACTCACTTTGTAGCCCAGGCTGGCCTTGAACTCATGGCAATCCTCCTGCCTTCTGGGTGCTGGGATTGTAGGTATGTGCCTTCATGCCTGACTTTCTTTTTTTCTTAATTTTATGCATTTAAGGGCTAGGGAGATGGCTCAGTGGGAAAAGCGCTTCCCTGACAAGCGCAAGGGCCTGAGTTCAATCCCTGGTTCCGCAAAAAAATAAATAAATAAATAAATAAATTTTGTGCATTTGGTACAGGGTCTCACTACACAGCTCGGACTTGGACTCGGACTCATAGTGATCCTCCTGTTTTGAGTCTCCCCAGCGCTGGGATTATAGGCGTGCACCACCACATCCGGTTTCAGTGGCAGGCTCAGCTTTCACGTGCCTGGGGCCAGGGCCGTTGCTGGCACTGGCACTGGCACAGCAGGTGGTGCTGTGGATCGAACCCATGTCCTTGTGCTTACCCAGCAGGCACTTAGACCACTGAGCTATGCCTGCGGCCCCACATTGCATTTTTAAAGTTTTCGGTTAAAATAGAATGTTTTCAAGTGGGTACTCTTGGGACATATAACCAGTACATGCATGTTGGGGGATTGGTATGCACACACACAGTGTAGCATCTTTATTTATTTATTTATGTGTGTGTGTGGCCAGCTCAGCCCACCAGGGGGCGGGGCTGGCTGGCATGTGGTGCTGGGGGATTGAACCGCAGTCCCTGTGCTTTGCTAAGCTTGTTCTAAGTAGGTGCTAAATAAAATTTAAAAATAAAATAAAATAAAATGCCCACCAGGGGGCGGGGCTGGCTGGCATGTGGTGCTGGGGGATTGAACCGCAGTCCCTGTGCTTTGCTAAGCTTGTTCTAAGTAGGTGCTTTAGACCACTGAGCCATCTCACCAGCCCCTGGAGTATATGTTTTGTGCACATAAACTAGATAATTTTTTTTTTTTTTTTTTGGCGGAACCGGGGATTGAACTCAGATCCTTGCGTTTGCCAGTCAAGTGCTTATCCTACTGAGCCATCTCCCCAGCCCCTGTGCACATAAACTAGAA